CTTGCATGAATGGTTTCTCTGTGGCTGCACCACAGAGATGAACAGAGAAATGAGGCCTCATTTGGGAAGCTCAGAAACACTTAATTCTGCCTTATTAATAAGCCTCGCCGCTACAATGTGAAATAGTTTAAAGAGACCAAGGGACTAATTTTAGGGATGACAGAGAGGTAAAATCTTAAGAGTGAGTACTGCTGTCAGGAAGATTGGTTTTGAGACTATGGTCCCTTATTTTCACGTACAATAAGATGGTTCCTTAACCTGCTTATTTAGCTAAACTCCTCTGAGAATGATGAACTGTGAATGATGAACTCCTTCTCCCCCTTTCTTCCATCTCAGCTATTTCAATATGTTACTCCTCACAATAACAATCAGCCAAATGTGACAATTACTCTAATTGAAACATAATTAACAGCAAATCAAATTAGCACATTAGAAACAAACTTTAAAATAATTAAATTCAATAAGCACTCTACAATAGGCTGCTTTCATTTTCCAATGAGCTTCATTTGGAAAGGCCATGAAACTGGATTGACAAAGAAGACTAGATTGACAAAAATAAATGTATACTTCAAGGATTACTTTTTAGATACTTATCAAGGCTGAGGATAGACCACAAGGATAAAGACATAAGGTCATACAGCTAGCTCCGAAATGTGCATTATTCAGCCATCCCTCTGTCTTGGTTCAAATTGTAAATATTAATCACCAGCTAACACTGAATATTTCTAGCTAAATCAGGAAAAACAGGGGTCCTCCAGGACCAAGACTGCATGCCACTACTCTAGAGGGTTGCATCACAGCTTCATGATGAATTGACTCTGTTACACTGGCAGCAGGAAATCCAGACTTGGTTGGCTAATATCATAACTTACAGTAGATCTCAATGGGTGATGTTGGTATTTTAGGACTCAAGCTACACAATGAAAAACAGAGCACAGCTATAAACAGTAGATGGCATGGTTTATACTGTAGCTGTGAAGCTTCTATTTAAAGAAATCACTCATTAAATACTTCTGATTATAAACTCCAGATTTATCTTTGATTTTTTACCTTTATGAAGCACTAGTTGGGTATATGCCTGAATCTCCTACTGTATATATGTATATATCCTATTTGTATAGAAAGCAAAAATCTGTAATCACTGAAATTACAGTACAGTATGTGCATTGAAAAATGAAGACAAAAACAGTCCAAAGGTCACATATTAGATATACTTATGCTGTCAAAGGCGGCATTGAAATGTAATTTCTAAGGCCTTTCAGACAATTACTCCATGATCTTAGCATTGTTCTCTTTTTTCTTTTCTTTTAATTAAGATGTCAGCCTCAACCTAAACATCACAATGCAGTTATAGTAATTAGGAAACAAAACACAACATCTGTCTCTTTCTATCAGCTATTATGTCTATACAGTACCAGTTTTAATTGGTGATAGGATGTTGCTTCTAAATACTCCTAAAATCAGATTTCATATCTCTATTCGGTGAAAGTAATCAACTATTGAGTTAATGCAAAGATGCCAGGTTAACTACAAATCCTTAAGGACTCAAGAGTCAACTTCTATAGACAGTCACATTTGCAATGGAAAAGCTTTTGCCGGTAGGCACAGTGATAACCATAATCAACCTTTATATCTATCCCTTTTTCTTAGCACTTCTTTTAATTCGGGGTTAGGGGGAAACTGGAGCCTATCTCAGCAAGCTGCAGGTGCAAGGCAGGGTACATCCTGGATGGGACACCATTCCATGGTAGGGCCCATACAGATACAAACACAGACATACTGTACAGTACACACACACCAGAGCCATTTTTTCCAGAATCCAATTAACCTACCGGCATTTTTTGGACTGTGGGAGGAAACCCATGTGAATACAAACATTTAGCCCAGATTTGAACCCAGGACTGCAGGGCTGTGAAGCACTGTTGCTAACACCTGCATCACTGTGCTGCTCCTAAACTATATAGTGGCACAAATGTAAAGCTGTTACAGTACAAATATAATGCTGTTTTTAATTTCTGCAAAGAAACTGCAGAAATCAAGTCCTTAAAAGATAATATTGTCTATATTGTTGTTGGTAAGAATCATTTTATCATATTACAGAAAGGTGTTGTGGCAAGTTTACTATGAAAAACAGAAGTGGCATTTTGGCCTGGCATAATATGTACTGTAGATTAATCCAGCAATCTGCGGTGTGTGAAACATTGCACACCATTTGCTTAATATTAATCTTCTTACCTGTAATCTATTCAAGAAAGATCCGTTTTGAAAAGCTTTAGTCTGCACTTCCACTACTACAGTACTACAGTATATCAGATAAGGCCAGGAAAACTGTGACTGTAAATGAAAAATGAGTGGTATAAGTCACAACGTTATCTCCTAAAAGACAATGTTGGACTTGCTTGTTCTGAACATAAAAATCAAAACATTTAATTATATGATAGTTTCAAAGCAGGTTCCTGCTAAATTTAATTATTTTGTTAATGCAAACGTTTAGACAATCTACTCTTAGTCAGGAAGGACAGTTATCTCTTTACAATAAACAGCTACTGTATATTGCACAAGAACCTAAAAAAATTGGATCAACACTTTACAAATAAATGTTGGAATAATTAAACTCAACAGCCTCTCAACTAAAACTGATCTGGATTTTTAATTTTTATTGACCTTGGATTTAGGATGAGGGGAAGCCTGCAATAAGAATTGAAGAGCTGTCTGCAGTAACATGCAGTTCCTCTCCATTTCAATGAACTGTGGTTGCGATACTGAGATTAATTTGAATGAAAGCAGTGTATGATAAAAATAATATAATCAAATAGAGTTTACAGTAGTTTAATCCCATTACAGAAATTAAGATGATAAGAAAGAAATCATTTTTTTTTCAGTTATGAAAAAGACTAATATCACTCATGATTTCGG